GGGCCTCGGTTCCCGCTGGGTCCGGGAGCCTGGAGCGGGGAAGGGGGTGTGTCCGCGAACCCCGGGTCGGCCGGGCTGGCGGAGGCGAGGCCCCGCGTGGGTGGGGCCGGATGTGCAGGCCCCGCCCGGCCCCGGGTTCCGGGCGCCGCGCCCAGGCCGCGGCAGGTGTCCAGGGTGGAGGGTGCGGGCGGTACCCGAGACCAGACGCTGAGCTTTTCCAAGCCGTCCTCGGGAGGAAACCTCTGGGCGTCGGGCAAAGGCTTTTCAGCGGCGGTTCCTCCCCCCGGAAGGATTAGAAAGACGCGGCCCAGAAACGACGTAGACTGTGTGTGTGGGGGGGGAGGCGGGCGACCGGCTTCTGCCTCAGCCGCGTCCCGCTCGGCCCGCCGGGGAGCGCGGGGCGTGCTGGGAAGAAGCAGCAGTCACGCATGCGCCGTCCGCGCCCAGCGCCCCGAGGTCCGTGCGAGGCTTCCTCACAGGCGAGGCGGGGGGTGGGGGGGGCGGTTGCGTGGTGAAGTCTCGCGAGAGCGCGCGCGGCGTCGCGCTTCGGGGACTTTCGGCTGCGGAGAAGGATGTTCTGTGCCTCGGCGGGACGCTGGGAGCGCCCGAGAGGCCGCTTCTCCGGAGATGGTGACCTAACACGCGCAAGGGGACGCAGTCCTATCCCAGGCTTCGGGGGGCACATCGCTGAGGCGGCGCGAAGCCCTTTCCGCGGTACTTGAGGGCGGGGGGGGGTGACTGGGGCGGGGCGCGAAGCGAGAAGTGGGACTCTTTGGTCTTGAGGACGGACACCTCGTCTTGGACCCCCGTGGCGGAGGGATCGCGGCTGCCCGCCTTTCCCCAGGCTCTGCGGGCCGGAAGGGGGCTGGGGGGGGAAAGACTGCCCTCTCCCGGCGGTGCCCGGAAGTGCAGAGCAACCGTGTAACCAGAAAGTTCCCCGGAACCCGCCTCCTGGCAAGCGGTGTTTTGCATGCATCAGCGTGCACAGCAGAAATGCTTTTCTCGAGAGCGAGGAACCTGTTGGGGAACAGCCGACTTTTATTCCTTAGACGGTTGTAGCTTTAACACCCGACCTGCAGATTCCAGCGTGCTTCTTGCACACCGACTTGTGCTCTGAGTAGCTTGCACACGACAGGTGTAAGGTAAGGGAGGGGGGGTCATTCATATACGCAAGGGAGTGTTTCACTTATGCACCCAGCGTCTCTTTGTGTTTCTCTTAAAAGGAGTACTTTACGGAGTATTTATTACCATGCCTGACAAGGTGACAGGTGGTGGAGCAAAAAACCAGGATCCTGTGCCATTTCAGAGTTTTTCAGTGTCACAAAACAATGATCAGTGGTGAGTGCTGTCAAGAAGATCTGAGGATCGAGATTCAAAGCCAGCCCGAGCCGGAAAGTAAATTTCCAATTAACCACCAAAAAGCCGGAAGTATAGCTATGGCTCAAGGTGGTAGAGCTCCAGCCTTGAGCAAAGAAGCTAAGGAACAATGCCCGGGCCCTTGAGTGCAAGTCCCAGTAAAGTTCTAGGTCATAACCAAAACAGTAACAAACAACACACCTTGTACAAATATAAATGGGATAGCTGAGTAGAGGGAACCAAGACACTTACCAAGCCCACTGGGACGAAGAGGAACCAAAATATGAAGAGTACAAAAGGAGAGCATGGATACAAAAGGAAGACACATCTAAGTATTTCCTAAGGAAATCTCTAGGGGACTTTTCATGGCTCAGCTAAGGCTGATTCCTTCAGCGGGAAATGCAGGCTCCAGTTCACAGATTACCATTCTCTAAAGGGTCTTCTCTGCTGACTTCGCTTGGTTCATTTCATTTCCCTGAGCCCTGTAGGTTTCCAAGTTTGTGACTCCTCTTCCTTAATGTCCTCAAGCTGCTGGGATATTATCTGAAAACGACAAAGTGGCCTAAGCATATAAAAGACTTTTATTTGAATTCCTTGCCTGTAACATTGATTAGTTACATCACCCTACTGAAATCTCAACATACTCAATTCTAAAATAGAGGTAACCTGTATTATAGGATATCTGAGGACTAGCCTTTGCCTAATTATCTTTGCTTTGAATCCTTAGCAATGCTTCTTTAAGGAAATCTTATGAGACCTGACTCTATCACATCCTAGCATTTATCTGTGTGTGTGTGTGTACTGGTGTTTGAAACACTGGAGCCAGACATGCTACACGAGTATAGCCAGTCTCCTTTCCTCCCTTCCCTCTTCTTCCTTTCTTCCTTCTTTCCCTCCCCATTCCTTTTCTTTAATTCCTGTAAGAAAATTGTTCTAAGATTCCCCCTTTTTCCTCAAAATAAAATTGTAAAAAAAAAAAAGATCATCTCTGGACATCTGAACTTCTTACTTCATCCCTGGTCTTAAAGAACATCTTCAAGTCTGCTTGAGGGAGTTTTAAGAGGGGAAGAAGTGTCAAGACTCCTTGAGGGAAGTTATAGCCTTAACGAGGCCCTTCATGGAGCAAGTTTCTTCATCAGTTTTTAAAGTGCTGCATCATAAGATCTGTGGGACCTACTGTTGTGTTTTGGTGGCCTCTCAGTAGCACATATGCGTATCTCTGTGTATTTTTATTTTTTATTTATTTTTGATATTTACATTCTTTTTTTGTGAAAATACTGTACAGAGGCGTTACATGGGCAAGATAATGAGTACATTTCTTTTTATTAATGTTTTTATTGTGAAAAAAACTGCACAGAGGGGTCACAATCACATGGGCAAGGTAACGAGTACACTTCCCAGCAAGCATTGCAGCCCCCTCCCTTGCTTCCCCCTCCCATCCCCTCCAAGCCTCCTCCCCCACCCAATCCTCCCCCCACCCCCCCACCAAAGTTGTAAAGTTCATTTTTGACATGACAACTTGTACTTCTCATTGCTGTAATGGGTCCACCTGTATCCCCACTTAAACGACTTGTTTTTCCCCTTCCCCTCCACAAATTATACCGGCATCAAATACAGTGAAAGCAGGGGTTAAACTGTGGGGGAGGGACATACAAAGCAACAAAGAAATAATCATATAAATGCATTAGAAACAAATGCATGAAAAAAACATTTAAATACATCTTAGGGTTCATTTTCCTAACATCACATTATCTGACCTTTTCTGCTTGACTCATACATATACTAACTATTGCAAATGAGGGAAACCATGGGACCTATGTTTCTTTGGGCTTGGCTTACTTAACATAATTTTTCCAAGTCTTTCCATTTCCTAACAAATGGGGCAATGTCATTCTTTCTGATGGAGGCATAGAATGAGTACATTTCTTATCAAGCATTGTAGCCTCCTCCTTTGTTTCCCCTTCCCATCCCTTTCCATCCTCCACCCGCCCCCCTCTCTGTGTATTTTTAATGGAACATTTTAAATTTCACACATCAGGAAGTAGATTCACTCATGTTTCTGTCCTCCAGCCTTAACAATTGGCCAGTCATGGCCAGTTTTGCCTTCCTAACCTCTACATGTTTTCCTGATCCTGGCTTACTTGGAAGCAAATCCCAAGTGACATTTTCTATTGCTTGTAGTAGAGTATGTGTGAGGCAGAAACACAGCAACTCTCATTTTGAACAGAATGCCCACTGTCATCATAAACTCCAGTCACATAAACAATTATTGAATATTATTTAGACAACCAGCCTTAAAGGATGGTTTGCAAAAGACTAAAGGTTATAGGCTCTGGGCAGGTAAAAAGAACAGATGTCCTCTACATTTTGCTAGTTTGGTGTTTACATTTAGTTCAGCTTGAAAGTGTACCTCAGGAGCAGAAGGACTGATCAACGAAGAAATGAATCCAGATGTAGGTCAAATGTACAACAGATTGTGTAGCTCAGAGGCATCTTGGAGTAGTAGTTTAAGGCCTCTGTTCTCTGAGTTGGTTCAAACCCAGAGGCACCCCCTTCCCATGGGCCCAGGAAGAGCATTCACTCCAGAGTTTCTTTGTTAGAACATCTGTTACCACAGCTGTCAGTTTACCAGCAGTCTGAGAACCAGAAGACTGGTAGCATTCCTCTGTCCATGGTGCTGATCTACCAGCTCTCTGTTCACCAGCCTGAAGATCTGTAACTTCGTTTTGTGTTTGGGATTTAATGTCGGCGTTATGAAAACGCAGATGTTAAATAGTAAATAGTTGCAAAATGTGTCATTTATGCCTGTGCTAAGTTAAAGGAAAAATACAACCAAGACCCCAATTCCGCTGCCTAGTCAGTGCAATGTCCTAGGTTCAATCCTCAGTACCAAAAAAGAAAAGACAAAAAAGATCCATTTTTAAAAAAAATCACTGTGCAGAGTAAATTCCTCCAGAAGGGAGGCACAGGGGCATAGAAATAAGGGAAGGAACCACAGCAAGAACGAAACCCAGCAAACATTAAATCCTATAGATCTCTGTAGGGCACATGGTGGTATAAAATGAGCACTCAGAGGATTGGGCTGCCTTTGATTGTTGTAGCACACACTCTCTGCCTTTAGGACTGGCTCTGGTCATTGCCTGGGTCTTCCTTTGGCAGATGTTTCCGATACCCCTGCCGTGCCTGGCCTCCCAGGCCTTCATTTCAAACCTGGGTGGAAGCCTCCATGACTCCACAATTCTTGCCATCTTGGAATCTGCATGCCTGCAAAACTAGCATCACAGAGACAATGGCCAGAGCTTGCTGCCAACTTGAGTGGTAGGCCAGTCCCCTTAGACCACAGC